AATATGCACTAACTGACATGCACACACCTATCTGTATAACTACATAAATTTTATTATTCTCTCACCTTGTTAATACTCTAAAATGCACAGGTGTCTTTTTACTAATTCAGCCTGGAATACAACTCTGCTATAAATCTCACAACATAAACATTTGGACAGCACAAAGGGACCAAAACAGTGCGTATCTAAGAATGTGAACGAAGGCAATGGAGGGGACAATGGCCAAATCAGGGGTGTCAGAACTCAGAATAGCCAATCAAGTTATAACTGTCAAGGAGGAGAGTCCCTTTCTCACCATGTAATAAAAGAAGCTGAGAACAAAGACCCCCAGAGTGCCACCTCTGGGCTCCCTACTTTCCTCTAACAAGGGAGCTGTCTATCTACCTATTTCCTCTCCTTTTCCCAATAAATAATTTTGCTTTCCCGTTTCTTTTCCCTTTCCAATAAAGTTATATTTTTCTCCTTCTGAACTTACATCTATAATTCTTTTATTGATATGTTTTTTTCTATGAACTCTAGATAAAAATTTACCTGCACGAGATGTAGTACTCAGAGTCAGGACACTTCTCCTGTCTACCTGTCTCCCCTACCTCATCCTTGGTCATTCTCTCATTTCCTCTGCCTCCTGCAATTCACTTTCCTGTTTTGTTTTTTTTTCCTTCTTTTTTTTTTTTTCGGTACCGTGGCCTGAACTCAGTTCCTTGTGTTTGCGAGGCAGGCGGCAGAACCTCTGAGCTAAATCTCCAGCCCTTTTGTTTTTTCTTCTTTAACTAATCATATTAAGTAAACTCAATTTAAAAAGTAAATTGGTTAAACATTTTATATTTTTCTAAAAAAATAAGGCTTCAAGCCCTCAAAGTTGGAGAGAAGTTGTTTTGTATTCATATACAGTTTAAAAATTCACCTGTCTCTCTTTAGGAATCCATCTAATCAAGGGAAGCAATAGGCATTGAGTACATGATTAAACCATTAAAGTTGAGAAATACAACTGCTAAAGTAAACTAGTGACTTGTTCAGAATAAATTAATTCTTGAATAACCCAAACAATTGAGGGAAAAAGTGAAATAGGGGAAATCCTGAGTTTACAAATAGAATTTCAAATGCATGTTTGTAAATCAGCTGTCTTACAGTTTGTATTTCTCCAAAAAAATGAGAAAAAAGAAGAAAACTGAGATGATCTAGTCATCTCATAAAATAGCTGAAATTCATTATTATTTGTACTCCCTAGAACAGTACAACAGACCAAAATTATCATTCAGCACTTATAATAAACACAACACAATGACAAGACACTGACCAAGATGGAATTTAATTTTAAACTAAAAGGAAGAGAAGTTTGGGAGGATGAAAATTAACTGGAGGAAAAATGAGGTAAGATTTCTGAACCTGACCTTTGGACATTGATTAGAGACTTGTGCGCTCAATGACAGATGCGTTTTAGTACGTAGTAAAAGGAGTACCCACTGTTTTTATTATCCAGTATAAATGAATATAAATTGCTCAAAATCCACCAATGAAATAAATCATTGAAAGCAGTCTTTAAGTGACAGTTTCCCTTTATTTACCTTTCACTCTAGCCATTTTAGACAATGCAATTCACATATCTACAAAGGCACTTTGATAGTTAACTGATTGTGTCAACTTGAGTAAGAAATGCCCAACTAAACTGGATCAGAATAGTTCTGGGTATGGCTGAAGGGATTTACTAAAGACAGATGACCCACCCTTGTTGCCTGAATGGTATAGAGGAGAAACAAAGAGAGAAGACCCACTTGTTTCTTTGGAAGAGCTCCAGTCTTCAACTTCACCTTGGAATCATCTCCTGACTTCCATTGCAGACCTTCAGCCTTCTAGCCAAGGCTCTTCAGCCTTCATATGATCTCAAGTGGGACACTACAGTAAGATCCACGCCTTTGACTTCATCCTTTGGATCTTCAGCACACAGAAGCCCTTTTGCACTCTGCCACATCTGACTCTGGGTGGCCACTGTAAACTGATCTTGTAAATCCTTATATATTTGTATATCTTGCATTAAATCTGCTTCTCTCCTCTGCACTGACTGGTAGAGGCACTTTCCTCCTTTTGGCTTTGAAATTCATTTAACAGGAGAGCCTCTACTGGGCTCTGGGGACCCCTGAAACATTACCGGAAACCTCTGCAGTAGGCTCAAGTCTCCTGCTTGTTGTACAGCATAGGGCTGGGGGTGGGTGGGAACTAAAAGACAAAACTAAGAGAGACAGAAGTGGGGCACCAGAACAACCAATGCCAGTGCAACTGACAAAGGCGCTGGCCAGTCCAAGCCACTGATTGATTTTTATTGGTAAGCAATTGGGGTAAAGGTGCACTACACAGGGCAGAACTATGTGTGAGGGTGCAAAATCATGCGGTGTCTATGGAAACTAATGTAAGCGAGGCTCATAAAGAAAAAAGACAAAGCATTGTTGAATTAGGAACAGAATATACCAAATACATGATTGTAATTAGAACATTGTTCTTCTAGTTCAGAAGGTTTTAATTGTGGGAACAGTATTTGGGTGTGAGATACTCTGACCTCAGCACATTGGCTTTGGCCACACTCACCAATACAAACAAGCCAACTGTGGGGGTAACTCTTCACAGCCTGCACTGCTGACAGCCTGTTTTGGGCATAATCGACATTGCAGTCTCCTGTACCAGATTACTCTTTCCTCCATTCTTGCTTGATAAAGCACCCTCCCCCTACAAAACCTAATTCAAAGGCTAATCAATTTTTAATCTCTTGAAAAAATATTAGCTATTTCTTCATGGCAATCAATTGCATTTTGATTGTATTTTATGCATTTCCTTTATAACTTAGTCTCTCATTTTAGTGTCTGTATAACCTCATGCTTCATCTATATTATGACAAAATCTTCTTTGCGCCTTTTCACAAGTGCTCAGATATATATAATGAAATTGTACTAATTCAAGTTTCTGCTCAGGTCTTCTCAGGAACGCCTTTAGACTTTCTTTGGGAAATAGTGTTCCTCTCATTCCCATACATGGACCTTGCTTTACTTTCTTTATATTAGACACCACACTGGAAATGTTGGCCACTTATTGTCTGTTTGCCCACCAGAAAGTATGACTTCAGTGGGCACAGATTTGGTGGTACCTGCCCCATCCCATCCTCAGTGCCTAGAACTGTGCCTGGTCCATTTGAATAAACTGGAGTAACAGGAAGTAAAAGAAATATCTATCAGGTATGTCAAGACTCTGTCTCATCATTTATCTGTCTCTACTTAGCTGTAGGGCATAAAGCCCATTATTAACACATAACGAGAATGATTTTCCTGTAACATCAATGAATGTTAAGTATAGGCTCCGAGAGAGTCTAATTCCATGACTGGCAGGGTAGAAAGTGAACGTAGGAAACTAGAGTTTAAGAGGATGTGAATGGGGAAACACGCTGTAGGCCAGATTAAAGACGCTGTTAACTGATCAGCAGAGGAGTGGAAAAGCGAGACTGACCTACAGGATGCCTTCAGACACAGGTCTTCTAGGAAAGCCACCGCAGAGGTGCAGAACAGAGGTTGGAGCGAGGCTCCCAGGGAAGAGAAAGACAACCTGAAAAGGAAATGGGCTCCTCGCAGGGTGGTAAACTGAATTTACTATGCATTTTGTCTTCTTTCCAGAGAACCACCACTGTGCTGGGACTTTGTCCCGACTAGGCATGTGGCCCACTTGTGAAAGCAAATGAGAAGTTCTGTGCAATGAACCACATTTGTTCTCCATTTAATTTATTCTTCCCCATTCTCAAAAATTAGGAGCTTATCTGTTGTCCAGAATCTACAACACTGTGCGTTTTTAACTTGAGTTTGTTGGTACATTTTAGGTATACAGTAGTTACATTCATTATTGGGATCTTGTACCTTTACATGACAGGTCTTGGTTCTCACTTTTTCCCCTTGTCCCTGCCCTCCCTTCACCCCCTCCTCCCCTCCCCATTTACAAACACTTTATTTCCATTTTTTAATTTTCTCATTTTTTGTGCACTTCTCGTTTTAGAGTATCTGTGGCCTGTGGCTCGCACATGATCTCCAGAGTCTCAAGCTTTTTCCTCCTGCATTATGGGATCGTCCACCGTCCTGGCCTAGCGAGTCTCGAAAGCGCGCTGCGACTTCCTCTCGCTGCTTTCCCAGCCTCAGCCTAGCGCTATTCTCTATAGGGGCCCCTGCACTCTTTCCGCCTTCCATATACTCATCATAGATGCATGTGGAGCCAGTATGGGGCATGACTCAAATTTAAAGAATTCCTAAAATTAGTTTAAAAATAGAAACCGATTCCAGGCAGAGGTTTTTGAATGTCTATTAAACACATTACTACAGGGCTACAAATTCAAGAAAGGGCCATCTAAGAAGCAATCATTAACACGCTGAAAAAAAAAGTTAAAAAATTGAAACAACTTGGGAAATGGTCCTCCGAGCTCCCCGCTGGGACCGCAGTCAAAGACGCTTTGTCCTCGGCGGCCAGGACTTCGCCGGGTTTCCCAAGGCCACGCCCCCGCCCCGCGGTGGGGGAGCTGAGTGAAGCCAAGTTCTCAGCCCTGGAGGGAAGCGAAGCCCAGCGTCCCCCACACCTTCTTCCGGGAGTGAATAAGGACCAGGGGG